AGCCTGTTCTTGCATATATCTTGATTGACACATACCTTTATATTTATGTTTAAACTCGTCAATTCTATTACTATTTTTTATGTCTACACTTAAATTATTCCATAGTTTTACCCCACTTATGGAAATACAAAATCTTTTTTTGGTTGTACGTATAGCATGAACTTTTAAATTTAACTGACCCCTTAAATTGTATCCCCCTTCCCTTTCATTAAATAAAGGAGTAATCAAAAAATAGTTTTTCTCCAACCCATGGTGCAAAAAGATAAAAATACATAATAAAATAGAATAAAATAATACAATAATGTAAGGCATAAAAATGTGTACATACAATTAAGTGCATTGTAGCGGATCCATGATCCATAGTACAACATTATCTATAGTACAGTATGATTTTAGGCCTGAGATAATACAGTTACATACATACATACATACATACATACATGTGTAACAGGAGGTGTTTCAATTAATTGACCGTACAGCAACGCAATCATGATTATATAGTACAAGCAAAAACAAAAATATACAGTTACAGCAAATGATGGGGTTGTGTTCTTAGAGTCCTTGTGCCTTTAAAGTGATAGGTGCTCTGATGAGTGTTCTGATAAGAGGAAGATATTGAGAGTTTAAACTCTCAAGATCCTCTGTTCCCAAAAATCTTGGGAGGGGAAAAAAGGGGGTGGGGGGTTCAGCTTCTTGACAGCCTGGTGGATGACGCTGATCATGAGTCTGGAGCTGTAGCGATGAAGACTTCAGTACCTTCTCCCAGGTAGCAGGAGGCTGAAGAGGCTGTGTGAGGGGTGGCTGGAGTCACCAACAATGCTAACTGCTTTTCTGGTGAGGCAGATGTTGTATATGTCCTGGAGAGGGGGGAACTGAAACACCAGTGATCTTTTCAGCTGTGTTCACTATGCAGGTCTGTCATTTGTAGCCAGCCACTCACCATTACCCTCTTCCACTCCTCTCAAGGCACACAGTCCCGAGGTGAATCCAAAACCCCAAAGTCTCAGCCAGCCCGCTCCAGCCCACCCACACAGCAGCAATGCTCCCCACCTTTAAAGCATCCAATACCCCCACCTACAGCACCTAAGCCTGGTAAGAAGATTAAATAAGTTCAAGGGGCTCAGTATTTATTATCTGCCCACCTTTACCTACAAATGGCAATTATACAATATGTGGATCAGTCTTCAAGGGTAGATGGACCCAAAGGAAAAGGAGCACCCATCTTTTGTTCTGTTCCTGTTGTCCTTTTATGTTGTTTTTATTTAATGTGAGAAGATACCAAGTATAAATAGAAAGTAAATTGAATGAAGTGCTTCAGATATATAATTTCTGTTCTGCCACAGTGAATATTACTCATATCCCTCCTGCTAAAGAAGCAGACCCCCCGAAAACAACACCTACCCCTGCTCCTCTCACTAAGCCTCAGCCTGAGCCCACCTCCAACATACGGGAAATCATCAAACAGTACAACAGTCGAACCCCACCAGAGCCTAAACCCTTTGAGGCTGAAGAGTCAGTTACAACACAACACAACACAACACTCAATGTATCCTTTGTGTAAATGGTCTTATACTTGTAGAGGCGCTTTTCATCACACTCAAAGCACTTTCACAGTATTTGGCCATTCACACACACACATTCGCACACCAGTGTTATCAACTGGGGGTTCAGTGTCTTGCTCAAGGACACTTTGACATGTTGACTGGACAAGCCCGAACCGCTAATCCTCTGGTTAACTGCTCTACCTCCTGAGCCACAGCTGCCCCCACTCTCTCCCAATGTGAAGCAAAGCTCATATCCTGCTGGATCCTGCTTAGACCTTCTACACCTCTCCTCCCTCCAAAATGAGCAACTGTATGAATGAAATGTGAATGGGAGTCAATGTCATGCTGCATAAACACTGGATGGGAATAATGCCTCTGACTGTCTTGTTGTTGTCTTATTGTTGTGCAGTCAGTCTGAGTCAAGTCATGTGCACAGATCATGAAATTAAAAAGAAATTTGATATGTTGAAAGAATTTGAAAGTTTTAACAAGAGTTTAAAAAATATAAAAGCAAATCAAAGTTGAATGTCTAATATAGTCAAATGGTAAATGATTCTGAGGTGGAATAATGAAAAGTTACATAGCTCTCATATGGAAATATTCCCCCAGTAAGATAAGTCTTTATGATTTTTTTAACACATGTATATACTGGAGTACATTGATATTTGTTTGCATTTCTATTTCAAACCTGCCTCCAGTGGAAGTTGATAAAACTAGTCAGCTTACCTGATGCCCCGGTCTGTACAGTGTGTAGCTGAGATATGGGAGGTGTGTGTGTTTCAGCTGTAATGTGACTGATGATTACCTGTAATGCCCCCTTCAGTGTAGGTCCACAGAGATGTTCACATGTATCTCCACAGAAGCACAATTCCAGCTTTGGGCGCTCTCCAATACAACCACAACCAGCTATTTAGCAGTGGAGAGCTTGATGTAATAGCACTTCAGTGGTAGTTACTGAAGGGAATTGTCTCAGCTGTTCAGATATTTATAGAAATTATTACATTCACACAAATGCACATATATACTGTGTATATATCAACAACCTGGAGCTGAACACGCTCAAAACAGTGAACAGTGGACTTCAGGAAGAACCCTCCCACCTTACCCCCACTTACTATACTTGGCAGCACTGTATCAGCAGTAAAATCCTACAAGTTCCTGGGATCCACTATCTCCCAGGACCTGAAGTGGACGTCCAACATCAGGACCATCACCAAGAAGGCACAGCAGAGGATGTACTTCCTTGCGCCAGCTCAGGAAGTTCGACCTGCCCCAGGAACTGCTCATACAGTTCTACAGAGGAATCATCGAGTCTGTTCTCTGCACCTCCACCACTGTGTGGTTTGGCTCAACAACCAAACAGGGCAAAGTACAGATTTCAGCGGATAATCAGGACTGCAGAAAAGGTCATTGGTGTGAGCCTGCCCTCCATGGAGGACCTGTACACCGCATGAGTCAAATAGAGGGTGGAGAGGATCACTGCAGACCCCTCACACCCCGGACACAACCTGTTTGAACTCCTCCCCTCTGGACGGCATTACAGGTCTCACCACCACGACACCAAGACAACCAGGCACAGGGACAGTTTCTTCCGTTATGGCGTTCCATGTATGCCCTGCCTGCTAGCATCTTGCACCCTGCTGTTATGTGCTGGATTGTCTCAGGGGTATCTTTGCACAGCCTGCACCTGGGGTCCTGTCTGGTATTGTAGACCCCGGCCTCTATTGATATTGTACTTAGAGCTTGTTCTTGTGCTGCCAGGATTAGTGCCTCTGTGCTGGGTAATGAGAGTTGGAAAAATAAGAGTCACACCGGCTTGGACGTCGCCCGGGTCAACAAGGTCCGAGTCAAGTGTTGAGTAACCGGGACAACCTGTGTCAGGATTGGCGTGTGATGCTGCCAAATAGTGTTTATGGTGAACTCAATTATAAGACCAGACGAACTGGGGTAGAGGAAGATACTTTTACTGACATAAAACAAAACAAACATGCAATGCCCAGAATCTATATTGGGTCGTTAAGACAGTCCAAGGTCAGCGCCGGTAATCACATACAGCCAGGGGATCCAAACTCAGGAAGTCAGATTGGAGATAGCAGAAAGTCGGTACACTTGTAGGCAATCAGGATCTGGGAAAGAATAGGCAAAACACGGTGGTCAGAACAACAATTGAAGGTCAAAACAAGAGGGTCAGGCAAGAATTACAGGCTGGAGAGTCAGAGCTGGAGTCTAGAACAATCTGGCAGCGTTCTAGTGAGGGAACATTGCCTATAAGATGTTGGACACAGGTGTGAGTAATCAGAAGCAGCTGAACATAGATTAAACTAAAGAGTCCGTAACTGAGGTGTGACTGAAAAGGAAGTGGATACAAAATAAAAGCACACGACAGGAAGCAGACGAGGCAGGACCGTGACAACCTGATGAGAAGTGGACTACTGGAACAAGACATTCATGGACAAGAGAGGAGAACAGGGAACTATTAGAATGCTACTATACAAGTAACCCCAGCGAGGTTACATACGGAGGACATGGGACATTATATATATATATATATATATATATATATACATACACACTGTATATGTGTGTGAAATAAACTACAATTTTATTGTCATGGCTAGAGTGTGATGCCGACTAAATTAATTCAGACAAATCATCCCAAGTTAAGTAATCATTTAATATTACAATTATTCTGAATATTCAGAGTAGTAGTCTGTTCCCTAATCTGATAGTTAGGGAACAGAGAACAGAGACCAGAATCACTCCTCCTGCTGTGAGATAGATAAAGTATTAAATAAGAAGATTGTCAAAAGCGCCAGTCAGACCAGTCAGTTGTTGTTGGTCACAAGGTACTGTCAGTCAGAGTCCATAGTCCTGAGTTTGTTTCCCCATCCAGGCCTGGGTCCACGGAACACTTTTCACAGTAGCATTGCCATCCTCTCTTCCTCTGCCCCTTCAGGTTCACCTGATTCTGATTCTGATTCTAATTCTGACAAGGAATCCTTAAAGAAATGTCCAGTTAAAAGAGAATTAAACTGGTTATTTCTGTAAGGTTGGTGATATACTGCATTTATTATCTTCACAGATATCCTTCAAGGCAGTTTGTAAAGAAGAGTGACCCCAAACAAGAAGCTCTGGCCAAACTCAGAAACAAAGCACCAGTGTCACAACAGGTCAGGATGGTCTGAAACTACAAATAAAAATAAAATGAATCTATATTTCTCACAAAAATAAAAGTGCTATAGTTTGGTTTCTTATTTTATGTCATATCGAGTACCTGATTCTGAAATATATTGTGTTACAGCCTCACATGATCTTGTTCTAACCTCATGCAGAAAAACTGGGTGCCTGCTCCACCACCAGTCAAGAGGGAGCAGCCTCCTCACAGGATGCCCTCGTCTTCTCCTTCCTCCACCAGGGGTCCCCGCATCATCTCCAGCAGCATGAAGCAGAAGCAACGCTCCCTGGAAGACCTATTTGGCTCACAGCGTTCCAAGCACACTCCACCTGCTCCCCCCGACTTCCCGCCACCTCCTCTGCACTCAGCACCCATCCTTCAGGACATCCCTGACCCACCGTCCATTGCTGCCCCGTCTCTCAGTGGGTGTTACTCACATCATGTTTTTCAGACCTTGTGTTTAGAAGGATTAAAATGCCTTTTATATATTATATTTTAGCTGGTACATACTGCTGACTAGCTAACTAACTAATGTGAAGACTTTCATGTGCTCCAGATACAATGCCAACCGAGGATGGCATTTTGTCCCAGCTCCAGCACTTCTCTCCTGGTGTCTGCTTCTCTTACTCCAGAATGTCAGGAAAACTGTTTCTGCGAAAAGAGGTGAGAAACACACAGGACATGCATCCGGGAACCACTGGTTCACTTAAAGCTGAATTATCAATATCACTAAACTGTGGATCGCCTGATTGTGTACTGTCAAAGGTGTTCCCCTTGTAGTAGAAAGAATTTTAGTGCTTTTCAGCTTTTGGTTATCAAGTCACAACTTTACTCTGAGAAGGGAATATTAGCTGTGTGTCAAGTGGACTGGCAAGAAAAAGCTACTCCAAATGAATGCAAATTTTGCTCTGTTAGTCATGGATGTATACATAAGCAGCTGTTTGCACACATTCAGTAAAGCAGAGTTGTGTTTTCCAGCTTGTTCCACTGCCCCCAAAGTGGCCCAAGAATGAATAATGCAGGTTTAAATGGAATTCTTTAGGGGGAAAAATAACTTTAACCCTGACGATGGCTTTTACACTGAAAGTGGTGAAGGGACTGATTTCTCATTTTTGCCTTAGATTGTCTGTGCTCATGGTAGTGACTAGTACAACATACGTGGAGTGTCAACTCACAGCACGTGTCATAAAGATGTCAGAAACAGAATGTGCTGAGCAGGGGATCAAATGTGATAAAATAGTTGCTGTGCATCAGCACAGAGAAATAGGAGAGTGGCAAATTATGCAGATAGGTGAACATGCACAGGAGTCACTCAGATAGGATTGTATGGAGGTTTTGTTTAGATTTTTTTAACACATGTATATACTGGAGTACATTGATATTTGTTTGCATTTCTATTTCAAACCTGCCTCCAGTGGAAGTTGATAAAACTAGTCAGCTTACCTGATGCCCCGGTCTGTACAGTGTGTAGCTGAGATATGGGAGGTGTGTGTGTTTCAGCTGTAATGTGACTGATGATTACCTGTAATGCCCCCTTCAGTGTAGGTCCACAGAGATGTTCACATGTATCTCCACAGAAGCACAATTCCAGCTTTGGGCGCTCTCCAATACAACCACAACCAGCTATTTAGCAGTGGAGAGCTTGATGTAATAGCACTTCAGTGGTAGTTACTGAAGGGAATTGTCTCAGCTGTTCAGATATTTATAGAAATTATTACATTCACACAAATGCACATATATACTGTGTATATATGTGTATACACACACACACATATATATA